CTTAAATATTAAGAATTAATTATAAATGTAATTATAAATTATTAATATTTAAGACTGTCTTAAACACAGTCTTAAAATATCGTAAACTAATTATAACAGAGCCGTATTAGTATCTTAAGACATTACTTGTAAATATTAGCCAAGGATTAGGAACAAGTGAATGGAGGAGCGCGCGCCAGCCCTGAGCGCCGCATGGACAAGAGCGCGGATTATTCGTTAACTTTAACTAATTCTCCTGCCAAAATTACTTGTCAAATCAAAATTTGCTAAAGGAAAAAGTTATTCCTCTTAGCACAAAGTATCACGTTCTGTACTCCGAATGCGCCAATTTTGGGACATCCTGTATACATGTATAGTATAAATAGCGCATAATTATATAATTTTTTTATTTAATTTTGTTAAATGTGGCAGTTAGACAGATACTAATTAATACGTTCACATATGTAGAATGTATGTAGTATATAGAAAAAATACAATTTATGTAAAGATGCATATATGTACAATTTTATATAAATATCTAAGTCGTTTAATTCTATTCTTAAAGAAATTTTTAATTTTCTGACATACATATGTTAAAAATAGATATTTTTTACTCTGTTAAATAAATATTATCTAAATATAATTATACAAAATATGCTAATGTTTAAGTATAAGAAACAAACGAATACACACACAAATGCGTAGCAAAGTTAAGAAATCTACACGTCGTCCATTAAACGTGTTATTACAGGATAATTGCTTCCTGTTTCGTTGCATGAATCGCTTATTGTGTTTCTTCTTTTATTAATCGATTTTCTATACATATATAGTGACTTATCGTTTAAACAATCATTTAATTACAATAATAATTCAGTAAAATTGTTTGCTTCTCTATTAACTAAATAAAAGTCAATTTGCTGACGATAAAAATGACGATGGATTTTTTAAGTAATCATAATATAGACAATATTCTATAATAAATCACTAAACTATTTATATAGCGATGATACAATGAATTTCTGAAAGAAATAATATTATCAAAATTTTTTTAAATCAATAATATAATTAAATATAATAGATAATACACTGGTCCAAAAAATTAAGGAATCACCTGTTCTATCCTCTAAAAATAGGCAAACTTTAAGATAGAACAACTTCGTCAAAAATTATCGTAACAAGATTTTTAAAAAAGCATTTTACAGCTTGAAATCTCTATTTTTTAAGTTAATACTTCAGAAAACGATTAGCCGACTTCTTTCGGAGTCACATTGATAGAAATGGAGATATGACAAATCGCAACATTTTTTCCTAACTTTGCGAAGTTCTACGGCCCGAAATAAAAATCTCACACAAACACGGTGTACAGCTCAAAAGAATAAATCTTTTTCTTTAATTTGCTTTTTTATTGAGCGTTATACAATTTTTTTCACCGAGTTATTCAACATTGAAGCAAAAAAGGTCATTTTTGTTTCAATGTTGAATAACTCTGTGAAAAAAAATCGTACAACGCTCAACAAAAAAGCAAATTAAAGAAAAATATTTATTCTTTCGAAAGCTGTACACCGCATTTATGTGCGATTTTTATTCCACACCATGGAACTTTGCAAAATTTGGAAAAAATTTAAATATTTGTCACACCTCCATTTATATCTATACGGTTTCAAAGAAACTCAGTCAATCGTTTTCTAAAGTATCAATTTGAAAAATGGAGATTTCAAGCTGTAAAATGCTTCTTTAAAAATCTCGTTACGATCATCGTTACGATTTTTGACGGAGTTGCTCTATCTTGAAGTTTGCCCATTTTTAGAGGATAGAACAGGTGATCCTTTAATTTTTTGGACCAGTGAATTTGATCAATAATTAAATAAAAATTGCACCTGAATAATATTAGACGAAAAAAATTAATAAAAGTTCAGAACATTTAAAAAATAGAACATTTATAAATTATTAAATTGATAATATCGGTGATTAAAAATTGCATTTTTTAATAATTGAACATTCTTCAAAAAAACATTACCGAAAGTTTGATAATAGCCTCAAGGAGCTTTTCAGAGCGACGTACGTTTTTAGATCAACAATCGGGTGGTCGGAAGCTTTCAGAACGGTAATGGAAGCCTCCACGGGTCGGTGGAACTGCCAATGAATAAAGTATCGGCTTGAGCAGACACTCGACTTGGGCTCTATTTATACGAGGTGACACACACGCGCTCACGCGTACACACACACACACACACACATTGCACTCCGCATACACAAAACGCACACATTCCGACGCATCACATGGATAAAAGTGGACTCTCTCAGAGTACTTTGCTTTGCCACTGACTGGGCTACTCTCCGGGGACTCTTCGAAGAACTTTCTTTTAGGATTAAGGAGGAAGGATGAGCCTTGAGACTGAACAGCCTTTTCATCCTGTTGAGACTTTCGTTTATTTGGTTACTCTTATTGTCAAGCGCTATTACATAGTATAAAATTAAATTCATATATATGTATATAGAAGCAAATATATTTGATGAAGATACAAGATATTTTCATTAAATATCTTTTATTTCTAATAACATCGACTGAGAATATTTATACTAATTATTGATAAATATAAAACTATTTTTTGAGATATAAGATTATTGATTGAAAAATAAATTTTTGCTAAACTTTATAACGTTAAATGAATAATATTACAGCAATAATGAAGTAACGCCAATAAGAGCCGACACAAATATTGATGTGTAATAATTTTTATTATTACGATATCTAACCGCACACAAACTTCGCGCCGCATTTCCGTCAAAAATGCAGTTCTTACATGAAACCAGAATCCACTGTAACGAATTAAATTGACAAGCAATTTTAATATTTCTGATACTACTAAGCATCCATTAGAATCCCTTCCCCTCAAACCTGTAAAGATAGGAGGATACAACTTTTAAGCGTTTTCGCTACCGCTTGGGGATCGTTTTATTTCTACATCTGTATAAATGATATCAGTAAATGGCGTCAAGTTAAATAAAAATAAAAATGTACGGTGTCTTATTATTCAATTACTATTACTTATATGAAAGATTTGATATCAGTAAATGGCGTCAAGTTAAATAAAATTATCTTATTAAACCTAGATAATGTATATATTGTTTGTATAAAATATTTGTTGTTAATAATTGACGTTAAATTATACTCTCATAAATTGATTACTTTTCAACCCAAGTGACATGTATGTACAATACAAAATAAAAAAATTAAATTTTAATAAAATAATTTTTACGTAAAAACACTCGGCGCTTTTTATTTAATTTAAATTTATGATTAAATTTATTACTTTAAAATTTTTTATTGCTTTTTATTATTGCTTTTCTTATTAGGTCTAACAGCGCCAAGTGTTTTTACATAAAAACTATTTTATTAAGATTTAATTTTTTTATTTTGTATTGTACATGTCACTTGGATTGTAAAGTAATCAATTTATGAGAGTATAATTTGACGTCAATTATTGACAACAAATATTTTATATAAACAATATACACATTACCTAGGTTTAATAAGATAATTTTTATTTAACTTGACGCCATTTACCGATATCAAATCTTTCATATAAGTAATAGTAATTGAATAATAAGACACCGTACATAATTTTTATTTAACTTGACGCCATTTACTGATATCATTTACTGAAGTCATTTATACAGGTAATAGCAATATACATATCACTAAAGTAAAGTTAGTGAAACTCAAAGTACAAAAAAGGATACCATTTAGGTTTTATCTTTTAAAATATTATATTTAATTTAGATACAAGTTTTTTTTCAAGGAGCGCGTTTGCACTTGACACCCTTTTTTACTTTTTTTTTAAGTCAATTTTGTAACGATATCACGCATTTTGTCGTGTTATAACATACCTCGGATTAATGCCTGTTCGGGAAGGATGTGTTTTACTCGAGGAGAATTGCTCCGTCGCATATTATTCCATTCTCGTGCTTTTTTTACTGGGCTCAACAGAAATTGTGTAACGGAAAGATATAGATAAAGGAGGTAATGTAGATGGATCTGGCTTTTCATCTTGCCAATAAAACAGTTATAATTATAGTGTAATATACATATAAAAATTAATATAAAAAATAATTCTTTTGGATAATAATATCTTATCTGTAATATGGATTCGTCTAATAGATGGTTTATATCTGTTATGAGCCCAATAAAAAAATCATAAGTATAGGATATGCGACAGAGAAATTCTCCTTGAGTAAATTATGAATGATATACGAGTACTTTGGATTAATACCTGTTCACAGTAGAGGATCTTCCGCAAACATTAATTCGAGATATATATACATCGAGAAAAAGACACGGTAACGATAACCTCACTTGTCACAGGAAAAAATATATGCGTTCAGCAGAGAGAACAGATTAGTGAATGTTCAGTGATTCTTTAATATGATTGATTCTTGCTTTTATTTAGATTTTCTAGATTTAAGTGCAGAAACCAATTGTAAAAAAAAAATTATTAAACGCACACGATCTGTTTTATCTGCTATATCTTTTCACACATAATAATCGATTGATATATATCTACATTTTCTTTTTCTTCTTTTTTTTGGAATCTACCCCCTATACGGTGTATTAATACGTCCAAATTCTTAGAGTCGAATGATGCAATACTAATACGTAATGAATGCGAATACTAATTTGGAAGTAAAGAAGTACTAAATCGTTGCGAAGATTCTAGAACGTAGAATCACTCGGCCACAAACGTCCACCTCAGTTCATGGCTCTCACACGAATCCCCGATATATGTATATCACAAAGATTAAGATTTTTTTAGAATTTCGAATTAGATTGTTCAGTGGATAGAACGTAATGAGGTATTCATCTATTAGTCCACACGACGTTTTGAATAAATTTCGAGATTGTAACAGGTTTTAATATTCCATCCAGTTAATGGGATCTTTAGGCCGTTCATAGGACATCTCTGTGCTATTACAGAAATTAAAAAATTTTCTATTCACATAATGCTCAATTTTGATTGCAGCTTCCATAATGGACCCATACGGCTCAGCACCGCTATGCGGCAGAGTATGGCAAAGGATCCTGTAGCTCCCGTTTTATGGGAACCTCATTTAGATGCCCTAGACCGGCGGATAAGCATTGTCCTGCAGGCCGTCCGCGATTGTATTACCCGCGAAAATTCTTCGCAACAGGTCATCCAGAGCGATAAAATTGATTCGAAATTATAGCCTTTGATCGCAATCTAGAATAATTAATCGTGATGTGTAAAAACATGTAAAAAAAAAAATCTCTTGTTTTTCCTCTTTTTTTCTCACCTTATTGTTAATATACAATATATTATATACTTATTTATAACTAAATCGATTAAATAAAATGGGTCATACGAATTAATTATAAGTGGAGTGCTATTAAGTACTACTTTTTATCTATTATTTTTGTCATTTATTTTTTGTACATTTTTTTTTCATTAAATCTTGATATTGTACTGTTGAAAATTGTGACTTCTAATTTAATTAATTTTTAAAAAATGTACTTTTAATTAAAATTAAGATTTGTTTAATTTTAATAAATTATTTCTAATTAAAATTAAGATCTATTTGATTCTAATTAATTAAATCTATTTAATTTAAAAGTTGTTATATCTGTTGCTACATTTATATTCTTAATGTTTATAAAGAAATCTTATTGGTAGAAGAGACTGAGGAACATATTAATACAAACAATTAAGTATCTGAACATGTTAAGACGAAATTTTTAAACGCTCGAAAATTTATTTGCCTCCTCTTAAATCAGATTTTCTATTTTTTAAATATAGATAGATATTCTTAAAAATATCTATCTTATAAAAGAGATAATTCGATAACTTTTTTATTTTTTGCTATAAATATATAAACAGAATGTAATGCCAATTTGCCTTTTATATCAACGAACATCGGACTGCTCTAAGTTTTAATGAACTAAAATTATTATTACAAAATTATAATTATGATAAATAAATATTACGCAATATTTACTTTAAGTTTAAGTTATTGTTCTTATATAACCTTCGGTTGTCACATCTCTTTTTCGATTAAATTTATCATTTGGGATCGATTTGTCAAGCCAATTTTTAAAAGACTGCCGTTTAAAAACTAACAGTTAATTTAATTTGATTGCAGAAACTCTAAAAAACAATAAATTACAAATAATTAATTAAAAATAAAATACAAATATTGTAGAATGTATTCTGATTGTATCGAATTTAAAATTGAAGTGGCATCATATTGAAAAAGAAATTCTTAAAAGAAAATAAGTTTTGAAGAAAACCATTTTACAAAGTAAAAAGCTGGATTTATTTTGTCAAGTGTGACAACCGAGATTAAGTATTGTAAAATTAATTAAAATAAGTTTTGCTAAATAGCGTTATTTTACAAATTCATAGTTGTTAATTTTAATGAAATGTTATGCAATAATATACCAGAAACAATAGGAAATAAGATATAAAATTTATAATAATTGATTAAAAAATTATTAAATAAAAATGTTTTTTATATTTTAAGAAAATTATACTTATTATTACAGTTTGATATAAATTGATATTACATCACGATCTGATTTTTAATATAATATATTAATATAATTAAAAAATGTTATTTTATATAATAAACAAAAAATATATTGTATAGAAAAAAAATTTTTTAAATTCTATAAAAAAAATTAAAATTAAAAGAAAAATTTAAGAAATTAGTACGATTAAAATTACATTAAGTAACAAATTTTGATCAACTTTTTGTTTTAAAGTAATGAATTTCTTGTCTTTTTATACTGGCAAATATGCTCTTTTAAACCTTCAATTTTTAGAAACTGCGCTTTGAATTTTTTCGTAATATATTAATATATTACGAATGTATAATATATACCTATAAAAAAATTTAAATACTTTTTTGCAATATGAAAATAAATATGGGACCCTTTATTGTTTATGTACAATTTAAAGTGATATATTAAAACAGTTTAATATATTGGCAGATTTAAAAAAAAGTGTCACAATCAAGATTACCATTTTGTAAAGTTATTGTGATGGAAAAAATGTAAAATATAGAGACAGACTTTATTTTCTATAAAATAAAATTTAAAAATTGTAAATTGATTAAAAGACCCCGCACACTTCTCATGGAAAAGGGAAATCGGCCAAATTGGCTGAAATTTTGATATGTTTGTAGGTTCTGACTCACTGATCAAAAGTCTCAATGGTCATCAGGCCAAATAATCAATACTTTTGGAGTTACGACAGTTCAAATATCCAAAATTGACTTCCATCCTTAGGCTGTATGACGTTATGATAGGTAATAATCACCAAGACAATATCGTTTAATTGCTAGCACGTAATTATTGTATATTAGGACATAACAGTAAAGATAAAATATTAAATCATAGTTATACGCACTCATACAAAAGGAAAAAATCATGTTCACAGTGTGTATTGTGATTATTGAACGGTTTCACATATAATATAATTGTATCCAAACATACCAATATGTGCTCATTTGTGCAAAATTATTGCACTCATGAAAAATGTAATTTCTTTTAAATGTGCATGTGTGCGTGCGTGCGTGCGTGCGTGCGTGCGTGCGTGCATGCGTGTGTGTGTGTGTGTGTGTGTGTGTGTGTGTGTGTGTGTGTGTGTGTGTGTGTGTGTGTGTGTGTGTGTGTGTGTGTGTGTGAATGCATATAAATAAAAGTGTCAATAAAGACTCAAAGAGATGAAACATATTAAATCTCAAATGCCTACCATCATGTCGTACAGCCTGATAATGAAAATCAATTTTGGATATTTGAGCTATCGTAACTCCAAAAATATTGATTATTTGGCCTGGGGCCTTTTTTTTTACTTGGCCATTAAGACTTTTAATCAGTGAGTTAAAACTTACATCATATCAAAATTTCAGCCAATTTGACCAGGACTCCATTTTCATAAGAAATGTACGGAGTCCTTTGTAGAATTTTTTAAAATGTCCTTGATTTCTCAAAATCTATAGATGATGAAATTTTTTTATTTTACGTTTTTTATTTTATATTCTTTTTTGACAGTTAAAAATACATAACAATCATCATTATTAGGACTTAGGTGTTGAGAAATAGAAATCTTCTATATCAGTGTTATCTTCTTATTTTGATTTTATTTTATTATTGAATATGTGTATTATGTAATACAGAAATATGTAAAATATAATTTAAAGTAGCTTAACCCGTAAAGGACACCTCAGTGCGAATTCGCACCCACAAAATTTTCAACTGGTGGGCATTTAAGAACAGATGAATTTGGCGGTCTTCCCCCACTACGTGAATTATGTTTGTACTCTATTGTTTGAAGTAGAAAGGTCCCGAGGATCATTTGCGCCTTAGCCATTGCTTGAAGCACATTGAAAGTTCGTTTGGATGCAAAAAAACTCAAACTTTTTACTACTAAAATAAATTTATTTATATTTTATTCAATTAAAACTATTTTTTTACTTAAAATACAACATTTCATTTAAAAAACCCAGTAAGGTTTGTGTCATTTTATTAAAAACTAAAAAAATGGCAGTTATTTATTGAAAAAGTTTTTTTCCTAGTTTTTCAAGAAATGGTTTTGTTTAACAAGCACTTTTGAAAACAATTACGTTCTTTTTCAAAAATTTAATATTACCAATCAATTGGTCAGAAAATTTTATATTGGAAAATACATGTTTTGCTTTAATTTTGCTTTTTATTTTCAGAAGAAATAAAACTTTAAAAACGCTTCGTACGAATTCGCACTTACGTGTTTTTTACAGATGTTTAAAAGAGACGTAGCCTTTACAGGTTAATATAATTTGAGTATTGTTATTATTTTTCAAAAAAAGAACATATTTAAACATATCATAGAAATTCTTGCTGATTAGCTTTTATTTTTAATAAAAGTTGTTAATATCAACAAGTTAATATCAACAAGGAGGCTGTTGTATCTATTTTATGTATAATACTTATAAAGCTGCAATTTAGTTATAAGTGTATATATATTTATTGCGACTTGGCGATAATCAAAAAAACATAAATTGTCATCACGTACAATAAATATTGTAAAAATAATATAATAAACAATATTGATAGAAATTTAACTAATTATTGGCCGCAATTCCACTCTTGTTTGCTATGATATTGTTATTTGTTATACTTATTGTTATTTGTCATACTTATTAAAAGAATTATATGAAGTAATAAATAAATAATTATTTTTTATATTAACGAATTTTAATTAGTTAAATAACGATGTAATCATCACTACAATAATTTAACTATTTTAGCATTAATTAGATAATTAACATTAAAAATTAACAAATGCACATAATGATGGTATTGTACAATACTTTATAAGTATAACATTTTTAGTAATTATTAATTACACAGATACAAAAATTTGCGATTTAAAAAAGAAGAAAAGTTTCTTATAATCTTTGACACACTGTATTTCCAAGAGGAAATGCTCCATCACATCAAATTTTTGAAAGAAATGAGATTAAAATTTCCAAAAAAATACATTTTTTCCAATCTTTGAAAATTTGTAGCTCGTAAATCTGATATACTAAAAGATTTAAAAAATGGCTCAAATTGAAGCATAAACATTGTTTATATATTTTACATAAAATTATTATTATTGAAGAAATTTAATAAAATAAAATTATTGAATCTCTCATCACAGACATCACTAAATCTCTAGTACGCTTAATTTTAATGGTAGTACATACGTGCATGAAATGACAAGAATTGTATTAGATTCAGAGCAAATTATTGCACATAATAAAAATCGACTTAGGATTTAATATGTGAAAAAACTTACGGTTTGCTGTGAGCCTAAATGAGGTTCTATATCATTCTATGACGTACCCTTAAAACAAAACATGCTAGAGCTTTAATGATAAATTCTTATAATAAAAAATTTAAAAATTTTTAACAACGTTCAAATTAATGCAAGTACATGTTCAAGTTTTAATTTGAGCTTTTTTAAAGACCCTAGCATACTAGGTTTTATCAACTATAAATTTTAAAAAGTCAAAAATTTTTTAAAGGACTTTAACTTAAATTTCTTTAGTACGTATATTTTTTTTTAAGAAAACATTTTTACTTACACATTCGGATTCAGCGCGCGACAAAGATTATAAAAAATCATTTTTCTCTTTCAGACCGCAGCAAAACTGTAAAAATTTATAAAAAATGTGTTATTAATATAAAATTAATAATTGATTAATCATTAAAAATTATTATTGAATATATAATTTTTTTATTATTGTTATGGCCTATCAATAAGAGTTAAATATTCCTATA